ACATGTAAATACATGATGCTCGCTCTCTCGTTCTCTCTCTCTCTCTCTCTCTCTCTCTCTCTCTCTCTCTCTCTCTCTCTCTCTCCCTCTCTCTCTCTCTCTCTCTCTCTCTCTCTCTCTCTCTCTCTCTCTCTCTCTCTCTGTCTCTCTCTCTCTCTCTCTCTCCGCTGCTTCTTCGGCGTGTCTTGTTTTGGATCAAACTTCTATTATGTGTTACTGCATTTCTTCTATTGCAATGTGCTGATGAACAGAATTCAGTCTGTTATGTATTTCTATCCCTATCCTCACTGTACTACTACTAGTACATGCCTTTCCTCCTATCCTGATTTTCTGCTATGCATCCCAGCCCCCTATCCCCGGACTGTCATGCATCAATTGTTTCCATCCCTCTACAAACACTGACTGAACGGTAGCATGTCCTAGAGTGACAGCAGCCACTTACCCCCATGTATGACCACAGCTAGCTGCTCTATGTACTAGTATTTCTATGTGTGAGTCTGACTCCGGCCTCTCTCTCTCTCTCGTCCTCTCCTTCATCTCTGTCTCTGTCTCTCTTTCTCCCACACATCTGTAATTTGCATTTCTTTTCTTCACTGCCGACCACTGCCCATGCATTCACCGAACAGGCAAACCATTCTCTCCCCTCTCGGCCTTGACGGTCCCCGATTTGGCTGTGTACATGTGTGTACAGGGTGCTTGTAATTGTGTGTCTGGGGGACTGGACTGCAATGGCTGACGTTCCTAAAGTGTATGTTCCCCGCCAGACTCAGTTCCTCCAGCTGTTGAGGAGACTGATGAAGTAAATGGTGTAAAATATCTCGTCAAGAAATTATTATCATGATGGAACGGAGTGGTAATAATACAACTCTAGGGGTATGGTGATGGAATTCGGGTGGCAATTTATCAATCAGGAATATCTCAAACATCGCTGTGGCTAGTTGCTAACCTAGGCAAATGATGGTGTGCTGATGCACACATACACATAAACATACATGCATGCACACACGCACAAAAAACGTGCATGTATCAAGCAAACATGGACACGTGCACAAACAAGCACATATCAAGCATGTGCACGTGCGCAAACGAGCACATATCAAGCATGGACACGTGTACAAACGAGCACATATCAAGCATGGACACGTGCACAAACGAGCACATATCAAGCATGTACACGTGCGCAAACGAGCGCGTACCAAGCTACGTGTTCTTATCCTGTCCAGTCCATATTGCACGAAACATCTCTGGCACACTTCTCCTGAAAAACACAACAGACAGCAAACAAACACAAGCATGCATGTGCACACACACACACACACACACACACACACACACACACACACACACACAC